TTTTTATTTTCAAACATGAACAATAGCTTGAAAGGGATTCTGGTGGACCATATCCATTTAATATCATATTTCTGATAATACAAACTAAGGGACATACGAATATAAATAAAATTATAAATTCAAGAAAAATGCGACTTTGACATCTTCGTAATATTATAATCTGTTTACAATGATTTTTAAACGATATTATTGTTTACTAGGCGTTTATCCAGGCTCGCGCATTTTTCAATTCACACGGAGACATGTTAGTTGTTGCTGTTGCTTGTCTTCKAGGGGTAGGAGTTCGTAGSGGCTGTTAAGACMTGGTTTTCTGATCACAAGATTGCTAAGAAAGGAAGCGTTTACTTTGATCCCTAATATTAGTAATATTYACATATCTTAAACCCCAAATAACTGGAAAAAATCGCGCACTTTTAAAAAAGTTKTAAATTTGATGTATAAATATTATRTAAGTGCGATATTTTTTCCAGTGAATGGTCCACTCACACAACAGGTTCAGAATCAACAAATGCATTACTCATTGTGTTAAACACACGGGTTGAAACACTCTCTGATAGATTTGTGYACATGATTCACGAATATAAATAATGAAGATACTCAGGAAAAACCCTATTGAAGTTATGAATATGAGGACCGCCTGGCACTATGACCAACACGATATAGAAATGCAAGAAAGTTGTRGTGCTTAGAAGGARGCAACTCCGGGATAAAGACCMTTTAGGAATAAATTCGGAAAAATTAATTTCCGACGAAATTTCCGAAGAAATCACAAGTGTGAAGCGATTTCATGAAGACAATGGCGATCAATCGTTGATTTCAATAGTCGCCATCGAAGTGAAGTGGACTTCCTGGACGTCTTGCGCTTGACTTCGCAATCTACCATGTTTATTTTGGCAAGTTGTGACTTTTAAAATGATCAGTCGGCTTGAAATTTTCCTGGTAGGACCGAATGACTAAAAAAATACTTTCAATAGTGTGGGGTACTGCCTGTCGAAAAAATACACTGTTACCCACAATTCTTTGCGAGTGAAGCTCAAAGAAACACTTGGCTCATGGTGTGTACCCTAAAGAAAGAGCTGTTTCTCGGCTTGCTCAATGAAACTGGGTACAAAAGAGAAATCGTTGCAAATAAGAAGGACCAAACATTCCTTCTAATGCTTAATTTTGTCAAGAATGCAGTAGTTTGTGCAATAAAATTGAAAAGAAATTCAGGGCTTTTTCCTGAGTGTTGTTGTCTTACGTGTAAAGGTGTGCACCTCACATTTCGCCCTAATTGGAATGATATGTTCTCTACAAAAAAAAAAACACCTAGGAAGCTTGGTTTCGGGTTTAGCAACCGTGGAATTTAGCAGACAACACAATCAAAACATCGTTATCAACATGACTATTAAACTAAGAAAATGCGTTTTTTTTTATTGAGTTACTTATGTAAAACGTACGAATTCGTCCGCATGCCGGTTAAAGGGTTAAAAGATGGATTCCTTAGTTTTTAAATAATTCGCAATGACATCACCTTATCGTGRTGTGTTTAATGGACACATACRTAACTGTTCTTTTTTCTTKTGTTTTCATAAGCTTTCCGTGAAACTGCACAGAAAAGCAGGGGAACTTCTTCGAAGCGGGAGTTCCATTATGCAAATCCTCAAGGAAAGAGGATGTTTTCAATTCATAGCATGACATTTACTTCCTGTTGTGGTTTTTCCTGTTGAAGCTTAAACGGTAGTCATTGATAATGAATAGAAGAGAAAATAAGAAAACAACTGGAAATCATGAGAAAACAGGGAACAAAAACGAAGATAAAAGAAGGTTAAGATATCAATCTACAGTAAGAATGAAATATCTCTGGCTTGTTTTTTAWAATTTTAAAACAGACGTTTCTTTCGTTAAATAGACCTTTATAATCGTGTGCATGACAGGACATTTTTGCAATTTTCAAAAATATTAGAAGTATGACATCATAACTTTTATGGGAATTTTATTCTTATCAAAATGACTGCAATAAGTCGTCTAATTAGTGACATAAATAAACATAAGAAAGCTTGCTTTAACGTACGGAGAAGGTAATCAAAATTATATTGGTTCCTGTCAAATATTGTGATTACAGATGATAACTTCCCTGTTCATAAACCACCTCTCCCCTCCCCTGCTGAACATCATTAGCCCAAATGAATACCCCCCCCCCCCCCCCCCCCCCCCCCCCCCCCCCCCCCCCGCAGTTTTGAAGATATATCTAACAGTAAGTTTCTCATGATTCATTAGTAGATCTTTTGATTCTGTAGAGTACGGATCTGATCTAAAACCTCATTCAAGTCTTGGTAAAACATTCTGCAAAATCATTTTTGAAGAAGGTAACCTATTTAGATTTTAACTATCTCACCAGCAAAAACACCAGTAATCGCTGTTCAGCGTACTTGAATTTAATTGAGCCATGCTTTATATTAACTCACTTGTTGTCCCATTTTGAACTATTCTAAAAAGATTGAGCGCTTTGCACATCGCCAACGCTATTATTGGCCTGTATAGGTTGTCAGTAACTTATAGGGGTCGTTACTCAAAAGGACGAAACACTACTCTCCTTCAATTATGCTGAAGTTATAGGATGGTGCAAGAGCATAGATCACTGCCAGCATGAAGCCAAGTATTGTGTCTTGTGAACTCAGAGGATATCGGCGCTCTATAAATACCACATATTATTATTATATTATATTATTACTCAGAAGGACGAAACACTACTCTCCTTCAATTATGAATGCAAGAGCATAGATCACTGCCAGCATGAAGCCAAGTATTGTGTCTTTTGTTTTTCAAAAAACTTTCAGTCCAGAGGTCATGTTTTAATGTTTCCTAGTAATTGAGAGTTTCGTTTTGAAAAAATTGTTAACAAAATGTTTTTAATCGAAGTTTAGCTTTGCTTTTTAATCGTGTTTTAATTGCTTAAGAATAWAATTTACATTTTACACTTTTGGATCAATATATGATTACATGGCGGCTTCCAGTGACCTGCAAATAGTTAAAACTATTCAATGACTTCAATGGCAGGCCATTGTATTACAAATGTAAATAGAAGAAAAAGAAATATTCTTTATTCCTATTATTATATTTCTCAATCTTTAGTTGGTTAGCTTTTAGGGTTGAAGATATTGTCTTGCCACACCCTTTCTCGTAAGAGCCTGGGTATCTGTCAGGGTTGTTTTTGAAAATTCCCGACGATCAACCCACCCTAAATACGAGGGGGAAAGTATGAGAAGCATTGCGAATAACCAGACTTATAAAGCGCCTGAAAGCCTTTTAGAGCACGAAGCCGAACTCCGAATAGTTTCCCAACCTAGGAACTAGGCGCCACATCTCATCCTTCCTTTTCTATCAACAGCAGCTGACAATGAATTTGTTTAAACTTGCTCTGATTTTTGGTCTTGTGGTTGCACTTCTTGTCCCTACTGATGGATGGGGCTGGAGGAGGAGGAGGAGGCGATTTTGGAGGCCGAGGCGGATTTGCAGGAACATTTGCAGCCCATCATGTCGTACTGTATGTCCCATAGCAAATCTCAATAGAGGAGAATGCAGACTTCGAAAGCTTCTTAGAGTAGTATGCAGACGCCGATGCCGTCGTAGGTGCTTTACCCTGGGGAAGCGAGATGGCAAAACAAAGGTATGAAACACTTTTAAAGTCGATATATGAGTATAATTTTGATTTGATTGCGAAAAAAGAGAGAAAGATTTACCTATAGAATTTAAATAAAAATCATTCTAGATCGATATTTATTTATCTATCGTAATATTCCCTGAAATGCATATATTTTACTTTCCACCAGGAAGCCTTCATCCAGCCCGCAGTGAAAAGAAAGCATCAGTCCAGAGTTAAATAATGTCAACATCTTACAAACACTTGTAATTTTGACAATCTAATTTCATGATTAAGACATTTAAAATTGTTAATGAGTCGCGAAGAATATTGATAATGGGATTAAATGAAATAGAAATTATTTTTGGAGTGGCACTGACTTATCAATAAGCCGCGAAGAGTTATATGCATTATAACACAGTTTAACATTTAAGAGTCAGTCTCTGTAAAAAGCGGTCCGATGAATTTCGGCTCAGAAATAGTTTTCTCTCAAATTTCTACCATGAATTGCCCTATCATAGTAAGTAATGAAAATTGACTTTTTTTCGAAATTCGTTAAATTAATTTTTTCAGCCTATTTTTACAGGTCCACCGTCTTCGCTAAATTGTCGAATTTTTCGCGATATAGGAAATCAAACATTTTCAGAACAGCATAACTCACAAAATATAGAACGCAGCACCTAAATATTTTTAGCCATGCTTTAAGATGTATCRGTGTACTAAAAAGTAGCAAAATGTTTAATATCAAATGTAAGCGAAAAATGATACACTATACGAAGCGA